GTCAAGTCTTGAACTCCAACGATCGCGAATGGGTCAGTTTCCCCATGGTAGCGACAAGCACCAGCCACACAGATGACCGTGATGGATCTGTGCGAGTTCCAGACGCTACCAAATGGCCTAATCCTTCCTCTGCGTTGACGGCGTATAGCAACGACAGTCAAAAGCCAGGAGCTCTCACTGGAATGGGCGAGGGCGCATTGGCCTGAGCCGTTGGGGTACCGACAAGCATGAACAACTCCCAATGCGGGAGGTTAGTACGCTAGTATGATTATCTCACGGAAGGCATATAACTACCCAGATGTAGCTACGATGAGGATTTCTGGCAGAGAAGCGCAACGCGATAGGGCTGTTCCCTAGAAGCTCGTGTGAACAGGGAAAATCTGTAATTTGACGAGATGTTTCCCGTCGTTCATCAAACGTGGCTGGATCATGTTCAAACGTTCACGTTCCACGTTCGCCATATGTCACTCCTCAGCCGAGTCCGGCAACCAAGGTGTCGAAAGACCTCTGGCACTTCCAGCCTGTAATGGGTGCCTGTTGTCGCAACCTTCTCTAAACTATAATCGCGGACGAATTATTAATCTGATCGAGCGCCTCATCTGCTTACATTTCGCCGCGATTCGCGGACCCTCCTCTCCGGTTTCATTTGACAATCTCGAGCGGCTTGTATTTGGATCCGAAAGTGGACCACACATCAGTCCCTCACTTCTTGTGCTCTCGTCTTCAAAGGCTGCCGGATCGTCCGAAGTAGGCCGGACTCAGGTTCTGATTGCTTGTTCAGAGGCACGCAACTCGAGATCCATTGTGAAGGTTATTTAGATTCGCATTAGATTCGCATTCCGATTACGCAAACACCGCCGTTTGGTCGCGCGTCTAGCATTTCGGAACGGCATCACTGCCATGTTGGAATTATATATCGAGCAGAATTTATGCAGGAGTCCGCCCTTGCACTCTTGATGGCTTCATCCCGTCGCTCATTCCGATTCAACATGTCTCGGTGGGCTCCTGGCATCCCTTTCCTACTCCGCTACACAGTGCCCTTGGTAGCTTATGCTGTGATTATCGCCCAAGTGTCGCGGCTCTTATCCACTGCATGGGAGATTCAAATATCCAGTCTGTTCATGTGGTGCATTATCGTTCTCAGTGCCCCTTCGTTCGTCGCGGCACGGATCATATTCAGGTATTGGTGGGTTGCCCGCTCAGCAAGGCACGCCGGTGCAATCCTGCCGCCTCGTTGGATCGGTAAATCGTTTGGACACCTGGACGTCCTAGGCGAGATGATGCATTCATTGGATCATGGATATCCTGGTGAGCTCCCATGCCTTCATCTGGCTCCGTGGCAGTACAAAATTTGTCGAGGCCTCTGAAGCCATAGGGAGATCTGGTTTCCGCGAACTCAATCAGTGGCAATGGCTTCATTTTCTTGGAGTAGAGGTCCCGACGCTCCTGAAAGATCTCAGTCCTCTGGCTGCTACATTCCTTATAGTGCACAGAGTCGGGTATCGCAGGGGATTTGCACCTCGTTCCTGTCCCTCGGGCATTCATCATATGACTTATATGTACCTGCACAATTTTCGTGTTCAAGATGCTTACATCATTACTGGCAGGCGACTTCGCTTGGCCAACGTTTGCGGAGCATGGACCGATAGCGCAGACAGACATCCTGTGGGATCGCATGGTCAGCCATGTTGCGATTCCCCTCGTGACGTATTGCTGAGGTACGGACCGCGCCGACAGTACATTACGTGTGATCCTCAGGTTATAAAGGTTGGTGATCGCTAGACGTCGGCAGATTGTTTGATACTGACCATAGTCCTCTCTGTAGACTATCCTTGCTACGGATTTTGACAACTTCATCAAAGGTAACATACTACAGCTTCAAATCTTGCTTTCCGACGAACTTTACCAAATTTACCAGGAGAAATATTCTCTGGATTCATGAGCCCTGTCTTAGGCACAGGAGTTTTCAACTCAGATGGTTCGCTCCATTAGTAGGATTTGGCGTGTCTCTTCAAACTCACGGTTATCATGCGCTCGTAGGTGAAATGTGGAAGTCGGTATATGCACGTTCTCGAGCCTGCGCAGAATTACATGATTGACGGTCGTATCTAGATGGCACCGTTCCATGACGCGTCCGTTTTTCAGCAAGGATCGCATAAGCCACTTCGAATTGTTTGACAAACATTCCAGTGAGTATCATCTGTTCATCAAGCTTTGAACCATAGTAACGGAGAGTGTCCGGCAGACGAGGCTTTGCGAAAGATGGCCGAGAGACTCAGCGAAGGCCACGCTGTTGATTTCCAGGTAAGCGCATTGTCTCATTCGGTATCTCTGTCTGGTCACCTCAGTTCATGGAATCTAGGACCTTGTCTCGCGGTTCACACTCGACTGCTCGTCTGAGTTCCTCTTTGGCTCCTGTGTGGACTTTCTGAGGTCGCCCCTCCCCTTCTCGCACGATGCAACAGGTTTCCTTTCCTCAAGCTCTCTATCGCCCGATACAACGTCATCAGCCATAGCTTTCGCAAAGGCGTTCCAGAGTGCTCAACACGTGTGCGCACAGCGCTCCTGGCGAGGATGGGTGTGGCCGCTCTACGAAATGTTCGAAGATAAGACTTCGCGGCACATGTGCAGAGTGGATCAATTTTTGGATCCAATCATACGGGAGGCTTTGACCAGGCACAATGAACAAGGCTCCGGCACCATCAATTATGAGGACGCAGACTCTGAGGAGGATACCTTTTTGGATAACTTGGTGCGGTACACTAGTGGTGCGTACAAGGCTCTTCACGTTACGGTAACTTGATGGTGTATACATCAGATCCTGTCGTGCTACATGATGAAGTCCTGAATATTCTCCTGGCTGGAAGAGATACGGTGGGTTACATTTTCTCTGTATGTTTCTTTTGGTTCTGAATCCACAACATATCACAGATTGCATCTTCCCTTACATTCGCCGTTTACCTCCTTTGCATGTATCCAGCTGTATTATCTCGTCTACGGAAAGAGATCCACGACGTGGTTGGCCTATCCCGACGTCCGACTTACGAGGACATAAGAGAAATGAGGTACTTGAGAGCTGTAATCAATGAGACGTTGCGTTTATATCCCCCCGTGTATGTCATCCGTTCTTTGTTTTGATTCTCATGCTCATCAACAGACAATGCGCTACAGCCCATTCAATATCCGGTCAGTGTCTCTATGCCCGAAACCTCCTTATACCTACTAGCTTAGAACGTGCACGATAACATAGTTACTCCGTGAAAGACTGTGTGATTCCTAATCCGGATCCCAAAGGACCGCCGATATTTGTTCCAGCCAATACGCCGTATGTCCCGCCTCCATTTCAATGATGACATAACAGCCTCTTATGATGCCTATAGTGTATCTTATTATCCCTTCGTCATGCATCGCAGCACTGCATACTGGGGCCCAGATGGTAATTAGTTCATTAGCACAAATTCAGCGATATTGATTTCATGATCTAGCCATGGAATTTGACCCAGACCGTTTTCTTGATGATCGTCTACAGAAATATCTTGTTCCGAACCCGTTCATATTCCTGCCATTCAACGCGGGTCCCAGAATTTGCCTAGGACAACAGGTTCGTTATATCGTTGCCTTCAGTCATGAACTCTCAACGACTCACAACTTTATTTCCCCTATTGACGGTGACCCGATCACGGTGTCGGCATTGTTGCATCTCAGTTCGCATACAATGAGATATCGTTCTTCCTCATCAAACTTCTCCAGCGATTCGACACGATGGAGCTCGATCTTGAAGCGCAACCTTCAGCGTCACGTCCACCGGCTGAGTGGACGGGAGCATGGGGACGTAAAAACGTGGAGAAGATCTGGCCCAAGGTACATTTGACCATGTATGCAAATGTAAGTCTGCATTTTGAGAATTGCGATGTGGGTTTGACGATTTCTGTTCACACATATAGGGAGGATTGTGGGTCAGAATGACGGCATCTGGAAAGGAGGATGCATGACCTTAGAGTGAAAACACTCCACTGAAGTTTGCAATTCTATCTAAGTGTAACTGTTCGCAGCACGATGTATCAGCAAAGATGCGTTGTACGGATACTGATCTGTGAGAAGAATTTAACGGTTTTTATTCGTAAATGTGCCACATATGTACATTGAATCGCTCACCTCGTCCTCCCTCCTCGAGCTGTCGCAAGAGTCTTAGCCTACCTATTGTATGGCCCTTAGCTGACTTTCCAGGAACGTATCCAAGCGATGGAGCTCATAGCGTCCTTATGAAGCTCTCTCAAACTGCGAGTGTCCATGCTATTGACAAAATGATAGCGCAGCAGTCGGCCATGCCCACATTCATTCCTATGCTGAATGATGTTAAATTGACAGACCCCCGTGAAATAAACAGCTAGGCCTACTCTGAGAATGTTTGATAACGAGAGCACTCACCCTCACTATCGATCTTGCGACCGGTCCTGCAACTGAAACTGCACGATGTTACTACCAGGTCGATCTGATGATCCTGAATGCTCGCGTTGTGGGTATATGGGATGCTTACACGACACTTAACGGATTCTGCCTTCTATGATGGCAAACATGTCACTGTCCTCGACGGAAGTATTCGGACAGCGGAGCGCCGGGGGCCTCGAGGTTTGACAACATTTACTGGGTTAGCAACAATCCTGGCGTTTG